TGTGACCTTCAAGAGCCAAGCTGAAGTCCAGGAGACTGAGCAGCTGCTCTACAACATCAGAAGTTCTCTGACAGTTTCAGACAGCGACTCTGATCTGAGCTACAGCTGCAGCATCAGCACTCGCAGAAACAAGAGGAGAGCCACTTTGTTTAAAACAAGTGAGGGATTTTAAAGAGTCTGGAACTTGATTAAATCCATGTGGTGGGTCAGACTTCCTCAAACAGCTGAAACTTTCATCATGACAAGGCTGCACGATGCTCTAATGCAAAATGTTCAGAATTGCATCAAATTTTATCCCTTTTTTCATTTCAGCTTTTCTCAATGTTTCAAACACTGGAACAACGATCCCCTGCGCTGCCTCAAACTCCTCCTTCAAGAGTCTGATCTGGAGATTCAACCACATTCTGATCATCCTGACCCAGACCAGAGCTGACGTCTCCTCCTCAGTCTCAGAGGGCTGGAGGCAGCAGGTGAAAGGTGTGTCAGAGTCAGGCAGCCTCATGCTGCAGAACTTATCTCCACATCATGGGGGAATATACACCTGTGAACTGAGTGATGCTGAGGAGACACTGATAACCAACACCTTTCTGTGGATAGAGCAGAGTCCAGGTGAGGCAGCATGAAGTGAGGAACTGTTAGTCTATATGAGTGAGAACTGTTATTAACTGTAATATCTGTATTTCTACTGCAGATGAGGATTTAATCATTCATGGAGTCATTACAGGCGTGTTGGCTGCAGCTGTTTTATTCTCAGCAGCAGTTCTTGTCCAGCACTGTAAAAAGAAAAGAGGTAAAATAATGTTCCTCCTACACTTTAATAAATGTCTTGTTTGTTATTTTTATTAATGATGTTGTTTTTTGACTCAATATATCTCCCAGGTGAACAGAGAAACGGGGAGAGAGAGTCAAACAAGGATCAAACACCAACGTAAGTAAATGTTCTGTATTAGAAAAGCACTGCTGCTGAATGAACTTGTTAGAACCAGTTTTCTAACGTCTCGTCTCATTTATATTTCCTCCAGTCACTTTCTAGATCATGGTATAGTGTAATTCAATTAATAAACCAATGAAATCTTTTTCCATCAGTTTTAAAAGAAGGAATCATGATTCATGTGATGGTTTATTTTGCTCTGCAGAAGTTGTTCTTTATACTGAAGAAGAATAAATAAGAGATTGTTTTGATTTCATCTTTATATGTTTCTGATGCTGAATTTGATCTCATTTTGTTTGCAGAACACCAGAAGCTACAGGAGGTACAAACGAAGAAACGCCTCGTCAGAGCGGTGAAAAACTCACACCCCCCCCTCTGCTTGAGAGAACTGAAGAGACTTGCATGTGATGTAGTAAATGACTGTGAACCTGGAGATTTTTGTGTCGTATGGACAAGAAGAGCAAGAAGAAGAGTTCAAGATTAACAAACTTATGGTCGCTGCTGCTGCTGTTAGAGTAAATAACTAACAGTCCTTATTCTAGTGTGAAGGATATCTAAGGGCACGGATCACAATACGGAAAACATTTTTGCAGATTCCTCCTTCATGGTGTGATGATGATGTTGTTTTTTGGCTCAATATATCTCCCAGGTGAACAGAGATACAGGTAGAGAGAGTCAAACAATGATCAAACACCAACGTAAGTAAATGTTCTGTATTAGAAAAGCACTGCTGCTGAATGAACTACAGTTAGAACCAGTTTTCTGCTGCTGAATCTTGTTTCATTTTGTCTTCAGGGAAACGGAGCTCAAACAGATCAGTGAGTCAATGTTTCCCCAGGGAGGTGAAACCCTGACCCACAAACCTCTGCTTCAGTCAAATGATGACTTTGGTCACACGCCGTTCATTTAAAATATGAACTAACGAGAGAATCTTGCTTCTCTCAGCCTCAAAGTCCTTCAGCTGCTGTTTTTTGTTGTTGCTGCAAACTGTCACTGAGGAGAAGCTTCGTCTGGACTCTCTGCACTAAAGCCCAGATCAGTGAGAGCTGCAGTGATGGTCGTCCTTCTGGAAGTTTTCTCCATGTCCACACAGGATCTCTGGAGCTCAGCCAGAGTGACCACCGGTCTCTGTGTCTCTGTGCTGTAACTGTGAGGACGGAGCTGTCGTCACCTCCAGCAGAGGGCGCTGTCACCTCATCAGCCAGTCAACACTGGACTCACTGAGAAAACCTCTAACTGTGTTTCCTCCACTGTCTCTGACCTGCGTCTTAGTCGACACTGATGTTGATGTTTTAACACTTCAAGCTCAAGATATTTTAAATACACATTGTCAATGTAAATAAAGTTTATATTTCTCAAAGCTCCAAATGAAATAAACAAATAATGAAAAAAATGTCTTCAGATTTCTGATAGCTCAATGATTCAGAGAGGGAAATTAGTTTTCAATCGACTACATACTAATTAGACTCTCTGTCAGTCCTCCAATGAAAATTTGAATTTTATAAGAAAGATCATATTGTTGGGGAATGAAAACCTTGTATCTCCACACACTACTTAAAAAGCCACTGAGGGGTCTGCTCCTGTGAGAGTTTGTGGTGACACAGACTTTGAGAAGAAGTGTCCAAAATCAAACCTTCAGATTTGTTGTGCAGGTTGATTCCTCTCACCAGCTGCTGAGCTGCTGCGGCTCTGTCCACCGTCGTCCTCCACTGAAGACACGACATCCAGGAAAACACTGGCCCACAGTGGAGCGACCTCATCACCAACCACACACACCTGGAGCTCATCAACCGTGACTTACTGAAATACAACTTTCACAACTATCCAGATCCAGGAGGCGCCCTCTGGTGGTGGGAGGTGGAAACACTGAAACGGCTCCTGCAACAGAAAACAACAAAAACCTTCAACCTACAATTAAAAAATCAACTTTAATATATTTAATTTATTGAAAATAAATGTACTAATATTAAACATATCCATAAATGCCTCTCATTTAATTTCATGTTTTTGTGTCAGTCTCTTTCATACAGCTCGTGCAATAATCCTCCATGTTGAAGTGATTTTTTTCCAGCATTTTCTTTCAATCTTTTCTGCTGCTTTAAAAAGAAAAAAAAGAAAAGCTTTTAACAGTAAATAACTTTTCCCTTGTCCCACAACTCAGTCACATCCGTGAGGGGGCGGTAATGACATCACTTCCTTTTCTTTCCCATTCCCCAAAAAAGAAAATCCCAGTCATGTCGGAAGAGGACAGAAAATACAGAGGATGATGGGCCTCTGCTCGGCCGCCTGGCTCGTTCTGTGGCTCGTGACTCCCGCCAAAGCAGGTGAGTGAGGCGTTTACTGTGTTTTCAGTCGAGTCACCTCGTGTGGACCTTTACCTCACGTACCATAAACATGTACAGGCAGAGACATCAGAGGCAGTCTGGAGCTTCACATCCAAGTCACCCGCCTGTGTTCTGTCTCTATCTAACCTTTTACTGTAATGACCTAATGAAATAAAAATAAAAACAGTCATAGTAATGATAATAATTGGGAGAAAATATACGTGTTGTTATAACCAGTAATGGTGATAATACATTGTGTAGCTTCTCTCCATCCTTTCAAAATTTTTGGAAGTTGGAAAATAAACGAAAGAGAAACTAACCATCTCTTTAATTGGCCTGTTTGTTCCATATGCTGCTGATGTACTACACATCCATGCACAGTAGGAAGGCATGATACAGGATGTCACGACGAATGTTTCCCTTGGGACCACAGAGGAATGTTCAATGACCCTGGATATTATCATTATTAATAATATTATTATTTCCTAACCAGAAAAAACAAACATGATTGAAATGGAGGAAAATGAAACCATGAAAGAAAAATACAAATAGAGAAAGTCGAGCCACTAAAATAATGGTGAACCGATACTGTTGAGGTGAAATTCAATATTCTTATTCTTTGACATGAATGGACGGAGAGGAAGAGAGGAAATCAATATTTATGGGTTTGGGCTTCAGACGATCAGACAAGGATTTCCATCACAAACATAAAAACAGCTGCTCTGTTGTTTCTACATTTATGTGGGTCGCTTTAAATGTTGCTGCAGCAGGGAATTGTGGGATGTTTCCTGTGCTAAAGGAGATAAGATAGGATGCTTCTCAGGTTCTTCCAGGTTATTTAATTCAGTTTTGAAAAGACTCTTCCACCGCAGCTCACGTGTCTCCTTGCAGAAGTTGTGATGCTTGTACCTGATGTGTTGCAGACGCTGATGAATCCTGCATTGTCACGGAGAGCTGCGTCTTACCGTGCAGCTTCCAGGGCGGCAACGATGTGGTCGTCCACTGGAATCTGATGAAGCCGAGAGACCATCTTGTCCACTCCTACTACCAAAACCAGGACCAGCTCGCTCACCAGGACCAGCGCTTCAGAGGCAGGACGTCACTGTTCAAGGACCAGATCTCCAGAGGAAATGCCTCACTCCAGCTGACAGAGGTGCAGGTTCAGGACCAGGGCAGATACAAGTGTCACACCAGCACCATCAGAGGAAACATGGAATCATTTATCAACCTGAGAGTGGACGGTATGAGAAACACACAGCAAATACAGAACACTATTAACACAATTTTTTTTAAAATCTAAAATAGTTTCAGTTAATCCACACTTAGCATAAACATCCTCTTTCTTTGCAGCTCCAGTTGGTAAAGTCGACCTCCAGCAGGTGGGAAACAGGACCATCTGCAGCTCAGAGGGGATCTTCCCTCAACCTGAGCTCACCTGGTCCACCAGCCCTCCATCCAATGTGACCTTCAAGAGCCAAACTGAAGTCCAGGAGACTGAGCAGCTGCTCTACAACATCAGTAGCTCTCTGGTAGTTTCAGATACGGATCTGAGCTACAACTGCACCGTCAGCACTCGCAGAAACAGGAGGAGAGCCACACTGCAGCAACTACGTGAGCGTTAACACTCATCGGTCAGCTAACCGAAAAATATCAGCTCCATATTTGCTCGTCGTTAAATAATGACAGATTCCTCCCTGGTAGCTAATAAATAATAACAATTATTAAACAGATTACCATCAGATTGAGACATGAGTTCAGTAAAATAACTTGACAGCAGTTGATGGATTCATGGTTCTCAGAGGATGAATCCTGCTAACTCTGATGATCTCCTTATTCTCCCTCTAGCGCCAACATGAGGTTGACATTCATGGTTTTTAAGTGAAATATCTTGACAACTATTGGAACCCTTGCCATGAAATTCGGTTCAGACATGCATGTTCCCCAGAGGATGGATCCCAATGACTTTAATGGTGCCTTGCCTTTTCATAGTCAAAGTGTTACCAGCTTCCTGCAGAACTAAGGAGATTCGGATCAGCCTCAGTTGTACTTTGTGTTTTGTGTTTTGTGATCTTGTTAATCACAATCCGGATCCAATGTATTTAGAAGAAGGTACGTCACAGGTGTTTTTGATGTTTTTATTGATGTTTCATTTCAGCTTCTTTGAGTCGTTCCGGCACTGAAACAACGATCCCCTGCACCGCCTCACACACCTCGATAACCAGCTTCAGCCTCGTCTGGAGATTCAACCGCAGCGAGATCGTCCTGACCCAGACCGGAGCCGACGTCACCTACACGGTCTCAGAGGGGTGGAGGCAGCAGGTGAAGGGCGTGTCAGAGTCAGGCGGCCTCATGCTAGGGAACTTATCTTCACAGCAAGAGGGAATGTACACCTGTGAACTGAGTGATGCTGAGGAGACACTGATAACCAACACCTTCCTGTGGATAGAGAGTCCAGGTGAGGCTGCATGAAGGGAGGAACTGTCAGTATCTGTGATATATGTACAACCCGCAACAGCCGTGACCTTCACCTTTGACCTTTTACCACCAAAATCTAAGCAGTTCATCCTCTATGTTTTTTGCCAAATTTGAAGAAGTTCCGTCGAGGCGTTACTAAGATATCGGGACCATGAGAAACGGCAGACGGACGAACAACCGTAGGTCATTTCAAGGTATCAAAGGTCTTTTGCTGAGGCGATGCCTTGTGGTGGTTGCTATGGTGATGGTTGCTATGGTGATGGTTGCCATGGCGGCGGTGGTTAGGATTTCTCTTGGTCGTTCACTCGGGTGTAGGCAGGTGGTCCGGAGGGCTAACTGAACATATGATTTTCTGTTTCAGGGGGTCAGAGTGATGTCACAGCCGTTGCTATAGCCGTGGTGCTTGTGGTTATGGTCGTACTGCTAGTCGTCCTGGTGCTCTACTACAAATGTCAAATGGTAAGAAAACACGTTCTTCTCTCACCTGCTAATGATTTGTTGTGCATGTTGCTTGTGCTGACTCTTATGTGTCTGACACAGAGAACAGCAGGACGAAACACGGCATTTTGTCCTTCATTCATACCTTTAAGGTGAGTACCAGCTTCAACAAGTCTACCTCTCTTACCACAAACTTACATTTCCCCATTTAATTTAGTCGTTTTTATTCAACGATCACACATAAAACAGTAAATTTTTAACAATATAGACAGAAAAACTAATTTATATTTGCATTCTTCCATGATTTAACCCCAACAATAAAAACACTTCTCCGATTAATCCCTTTTTTAAAATCTTTTTGTACAGTAAACTTAACAACACCTTTCTGGGAGTGACTTTGATTTAGCTCTAAATATAATTAGGATTATTTTATAATAAAATAAATCATAAAATTTCACAGCATGAAAATTTATTCTCATTTAAAGGTTGATCCCCACACAAGTTATATAGGTAAGTATAAGTGAGCAGTTATGAATCAGTCATTACTCAAATAAATGTTAAAATGACATGCTGGTAAAATGTTGGCATAAATAAGAGGACATGAGCAGAGAGTAAAATACCTTAATGCTAATGGAAAACAAACTTTGGCTCAATAGTTTGAAGGTGAAACAGAAAATATGATCAAATAAAAAGACAGCTTTATGTTTGCTATTTATTTTGTTGTGAAGAAAATATTCTACAGGCTGAAGAAGCACATTTCTCAAATTTATTCTGTTCTGTTTCGTTCGCAGGAGAGATGAGACAAGGGACGTATGACAAGAGACAATCAAAATGTACGGTGGCTGATTAGGGCCAAAATTCTGCCACTGCATCATTTCCTATTTGTTGTCCATCGGGAATCGTACAGCGTCACAGAAATGCAACGCTTAACAACATCCCCAGCTGCACGTCTACAGAGCCACACTCAAGTCATTTATGCTGTTGAATAGAGGGATATTATAAGGATAGCAGCTGAGCAGCCAGTGACATTGAGACAAGAGTGCTGTCTCTGTGCAAACTTTCATAATGAGGTATTTTTCTCACTCTTTAGTAAATTATTGCTCCGTGTTTTTTGACCCGAGAACAAAAGCGAACGAAACAAAGTCTGCACCTCTGCACTCCAACCACATCCAACTTCAGTTTGAATCAACAACAGAAACACGTAAAAGCTGATGCATTAATGAATCTACCAAATCAGTCCACTTTATTCTGCCCTTTATGTGAAACCACAGATGGGATATACAGCTGTGAGCACTTTAAATGCACAGGAGTCCTTAAGATCAACACTACCAGTGTGATACTGACTGAGGATATTGGCTTCCTTTAATCCAATAGGTCAATAATCATCTACTAACTATTGGACTTCTCCACTAGGGATTATAACCCCCTCCTCATCTGGGGTTTCTCTGTAGTGGTTTTGTGTCTGTTAGCGTCTTGTTTTCATGTTGTTGTGCGCAGACATTTTGAATCTCTGTTGTTTCACATCTCTTTGTGGTCGTTGTGCGTCTCTTTGTGGTCAGGCCGTGTTTCTTGGTAGTTGTTTGACTTTTCAACAGTGAAGGTAAACCCTCCATTCAAACAGAGCGTCTGGCCGGGGGCCACGACCTGTCTTGAGTTGTCTGCTCACATCACAAGTTGAGTGATGAGCTCCTTTGAAGTTTAAGTGGTAACACTAATAAAGAAACAGTGAAAATGTACTTCTGTGATGGGAAAGACCCCAGTTTTAAGAAGCATGTTGCAAACTGATGGTGAAGAAGCATGACACTAAGGACTGTCACCAGAGACAAGAGAGTACACTACATGGTTTATTTAATGGTCAGTGGACTGGATGTAACAGCATGTCATCTGCACGAACCTTTAGAAAACACACTTTCTTCATCTAGAGTCAACCACACAGTGTTATGACGTGAGGCTTTAGGTCTTACTGCATGGTGAAGTGCTGCTTGTTCTGTTCAGTGTCTCACAGAGTATCAAACACTAGATGGCAGCATAGTCAGGATTTTTAGTATGTGAATAATCTGTGGTGAATTTAGACTGAAGTTGAGGCCAAACTATAGCAGACTGTAAAGTTGTTCTTTATCAGGACAGACAAATAGATCCTAGATGTCCGCAGTATTATTTAATAGAGTTCTCAGTTCATGTCAGTGGCTGTATTGCTTTTCTACTTTGAGTAAATATTCAGTTAAGACCATTAATGAAACATTTAGATGCATCCACAACTGTTGTCTAAAATAACACAGATAAACACTAAGTTGTTAAGTTGACTTTAAGTCTCCACATAAATGTAAGTTCAACATTATGTACTGATGAAAACATATAAAGGATGCCATTTACTAATATTTTGAAGTTCAGTATAAGTATATTTCATGAATAAATACACTACTGTTTATTAATCTCCTGTATACTGTATATTTGTGGTCACAGTAACTCGTCAGTATTATCAGAATCACAAATTACTAAGTGTTTTTTTGACAATGTTATGCATCACACCATATTACTTCAGCATTATCACATTGCACCTTAAAGGTTCAAAATAAAATGTTTTGTGACTGTTGCATCATGTTTTCTTTGATATCACAAATTCTCTTTAATCGTATGATTCCATTATTCTGCTTTTTAATTTTCTAACCTAGTTAAAGGAGCAGCCAGTGATTCTATAATACACTGTTTTTCAGATTCAGTGAATATCTCTTCCTGGATACGTTCTGTTGTTCCTACACACAATGGTCTCTGTAAATGGGACCCAGACCACAACACAACAGTATTCCAGCCAATCAGAAACAGGGGGCGTTCATGCTCGTGCACAGGACAAGGGAGAGAAGAACAGGGGGGATTGGGGAAAGGAGGCGGGCATATGCTAACTGATAGCACGAATCTAAAGATTACCAAAGGAGAAGGGGTAATCTATTCTTCTGTTGCTGAGTTTTGAACAGGATTGATTGACAATGCGGACAAGGCAGCAACTGCATTGAAAGGACGTCTACCGGCGGCGGCGTGACAGCGGCCTACACTCCACAAATAAATCACACTGTCAAGATGGAGAGGAGAAGGAGAATTACAAAAGAAGTTCTATGATCAGGCAGAGACGAAGAGCTGTTGTAACATCTGTGAGCCTTTCAAAAGGTGAAGACTGCATGGTCAGACTGGGAAAAAAGCTGAACCGTGATTCCACTGGGACTGGCCCGCACCCCGAATGACAGGCACACAGAAAGAGCCGGGACATGGAGTGACGGGACCAGTATGGCCCACCAAGATTTGTCCCAGTGGCCAAGCAAGAGTAACATCTTATTAAATGTTCAAATCAACAAAACAGTTGACTAAAACATGACGATGATAATCCTCAATCTCCAAAGTGTGTTACCTGTGGTTTTCTTCAGTAAACTCTGAACCAACTCAAGCAGCTCTGGAGCTCTCTGAAATTTAAGAGCATTTTTAGGTTGTATTTGATGAATTGGAGAAATAAAGTTCATCCTTATCTGAGCTGAGAAGTTAAGAGAGGCCAGGTAAGCTTGTAAATAAAGATAGATGTGGATTTCATTTGAAGGTGGACAGATTCATTGGCACAAGGGTAAAAGAAGATACTTGAATAATAGAACCTCTTCTAGACGAGGGGAAACCAGGGCTGCGTTCAAGTACGACACTTAAAGTGAAAGATAAAAGTAAATTTTTCTTTCACTTTTATATTTTCTTGCAAGCTTAAGTCCAAAGCAGTTTCATATTTATGTATATATGATCCCTGAATCTTGGATTTGATAAATGCTGTCTGAGAGGTGAGAGGTGAGAGGAGCAGGTGAAAGGTGTGTCAGAGTCAGGCAGAACTTATCTCCACATCATGAGGGAACATACACCTGTGAACTGAGTGATGCTGAGGAGACACTGATAACCAACACCTTTCTGAGGATAGAGAATCCAGGTGAGGCTGCATGAAGTGTTATTATCTGTATAACCTGTAACAACCTAAACATCAGAAAACACCATCATGAGGCATCATGGGAAAGTGCAAGTAACTGACTTTCTATTTCAGGGTATTCAGCCAATGTTGGAGTCATTCTAGGCGTGGTGGTGGTGGTAGCCATTTTGGTCCTAGCAGCAACAGTCATCCTTGTTCTGTGCTATAAAGGGAAAATAGGTAAAATAATGTTCTTCCTACACTTTTAAATTCATTTCCTGTTTGTTGTTTCCATTGAGAAACAGGAAATTAGGACAAAATATAAAATCTGACCAAATCAAATGAAGGAATCACGACGATGTGATGTTTTTTTTTTTGCTCTGCAGAAATTGTTCTTTATACTGAAGAAGAATAAATGAGATTGTTATGATTTTATGTTTATACGTTTCTGATACTGAAATTTATTTATTTGCAGTAAAATCGTGCACAAACATACATGAAGAAACGCCACGTTTGACCGGTGAATTCCAGACCGGCAACCCTCTGCTTCAGTAAACTGGAGACTCTGATGTATAACTGTGTTAAACGACTGTGAGCATGACATGAACATTCATGTCATATGGACAAGAACCGTAAAGAAGACACGTTCAAGACGAACAAACCTCTCCACCAAACACTGAAGGATTAGATTATGTTCTGAACTATTGATGTGCAATGGAGTAAACAAACTTTTTGTCTTCCAGGTTCTCCTGGTCTCTCCTTTGTGGTTTCCTCTTAAAGGAGCTATTTATAGCTAACATTAGCATTAGCAGCTGTTTACTTACCAGTCTAGAGGAAATGTGGCAAGTTCAGCATCAAACTTTATTCCTTTATAACCTCTTGTCCTGCAAACACAACTATGGCTGAAGCTCTTGTCCAGACTGGTAACAGGTGTCAATGCTAACGCTAGATATGTAGCAATAGCAAAACTTACAGATAGCTCAACCCTTAAATGATTTCTGTACAAAAATAAAATCAAAGATGCTGAGTGTAAATGTTTATTCAAACCACACAAATAAAGTTAAGATAGTAATATTCTGATTCAGTTATCCACTTCAAATATAAGAAATAACACACACAACTACACACGTGGAAAAATTCTCAAACAGAAATATAAAGACGCAACAAATCTCTGTATTTAAACACTGATCTGTGTGTGTGTGTGTGTGTGTGTGTGTGTGTGTGTGTGTGTGTGTGTGTGTGTGTGTGTGTCCCTGTTACATCAGGCGAGGGTTTTCCTCTCTGTAGTTGTATGGGTCTCCTTTGAAGGGCAGATGTGGAGGGTGGTTGCAGATTCCCATCAGGAAGATGATGATGGTGCCCAACGTCATGACCGGAGTCACCAGGAAGAGACAGAGCCGGTCCACCGTACGAGCGATACCGCTCCAGTTATCTTTCTCCTGCGAAGACGGCAGCGTGGGGGTCCAAGTTTAGTTTATAACTTACAGTGACACGTTTGATTTATAAACATGGCTCAACATCTCTTCAGCACAGTCTCAATCAAAACTGAAGATTGAAACCGTCATGAAAGGAAGATTTACTGCAGGACTGCTGCGTTAGATGTAGCAAGGTGTTCCTAATAAACTGACGACAAGGAGTGTATGTGCATTGCACCCTTTTTACTAGGCAGGCAAAGTGTTTTACATAAAAGGCATTAAGAAAAGAAACACAAGGATGTATACAACGATGGAAAAGAGCAAAAGAGAACCTTTGACCTTTCTCAGCTATAGAAGAAATCTGTTTTAGGTGCATTTTGAACTGGTTTCTTCTAGAAAGAGAGTTTCAGCGTTGATGAGCTGCAGCTGCAGAACCACCATCACCTTTACTGTGGAGAACAACATCATCCCTCTCCCTCTGTGTCTCACCTCGTTGTAATCGTTCTTGTTGCGCATGTGTTTGATGATGTAGTTCGCTCCGTCCACAGCCGGCTTGATCTCTGCGTACAGCTGGTCTGTCACCTCTCCCTCTTCCTGTGGCTTCACCACTACACACACACACACACACACACACACACACACACACAGAGAGAAAGTGTGTCAGTGACAACATCCCACGTCTGGGGAACCGTGACTGAAATGAATGAAATACCGGACGTACATGCAGCATGCGTGGTTCGTGTCATCAGCCCGTGTCTCTCTGACTGTTTCTCGAACATCAGCTCGCTGCGGGACTTGACGCTGTAGTACTCCTCCGCCGTAGCGATGTACCCCACTGAGCTGGATCGCCGTGGCAGCACTCCATCCCAGTATGGCTCCGCCTCTGCAGGGCGGGACATACGCAGGAGCCGCGGCAACCGCTCCAGGAAGAACTGGACAAAGAGGAGGGGAAATAAAAAATACAAAAAAAAAACAGAGGCATAATCTGTCATAATCAGTTTTCTTTCTCCAAATCAATCTGCATCAATTTTGAAAAACCTTTTATATTTTGAACAGAGCAAATCTGTAATGCTGACGATGAAATTAAAATTCAACATTTTCATGACAAAGATTTTGTTTCTATACAGTATATGATCCATAAAACACAGACACAGGAGGAGTGTGTTTTGTCTGTGTGTGTGTGTGTGTGTGTGTGTGTGTGTGTGTGTGTGTGTGTGTGTGTGTGTGTGTGTGTGTGTTGTGTGTGTGTGTGTTACCTTCTTGGTCCACTCAGACATGACGTGTGTGCTCGGTGTCCTGAAGTGCAGGTTGAGGACGACCACACAGTTCAGCACCACCACCGTGACCAACACCATGATGAACATCAAATACCTGAGACACACAATTGTTGGTACAAGAATAAACACAATAAAATATTTCATCCACTGGTAACTCAATATATTTCTGTCTGATCGTTGGCCTGGTGTGTGTGTGTGTGTGTGTGTGTGTGTGTGTGTGTGTGTGTGTGTCTTACTTGACAATAAGCGGTACGGACATGGAAGTCTCCGGCAGCCTTTGAGAGATCAGCAGCAAGAAGACAGACTGAGCCAAGAGCACAGAGATGGACAAGGTCATCTTCTCACCACCTGTACACACACACACACACACACACACACAAACGATTAAATTAATTGTTTTCTTTGACAACAGTTTTGAAAACCTTAACAAAGTCCACAGTATTTTGCAACACTTTTTTCCACAGTTTTTAAATGTTTAAAAACCAAATGATTAATCCTAAAGATAATCAGCTGTGACCTTTAACCGAAGCTTATTTTTACAGATTTAAGTTCATAAAATAATTTTGTAATAAAAGCATCATTTAATAAAACAAAAAAAGCAATAAATAACAATCATCTGCACATCACTGATGTAAACGACAGCAGCTCACATTTACAGTAAACGTGTGATAATGTGAATGTAAAATGAATCTTTTTGCATTTTGTTGGAACAGAATGTTTGTGTTTTTAGAGCGGCAGCTGCACTGACTGTCAGCGGGCAGGTAGTAGACGAGCGAGGCCAGGAAGGAGATGAGCACACAGGGGATGATGATGTTGACGATGTAGAAGAGAGGTTTGCGTTTGATGACCAGGTAGAAGGTGATGTCCTGGTGCTTGTTGCTCTCCATGGGAATGTGTTTGTAGGTGTTCCTCTTGGCCGGCCGGTGGATGATCTCCCACTCGCCGTTCTCTGGCAACACCAGCGACAAAACAGCGCCGAGGACAAAACAAAAAACAGAACAAGGTTTAGACGATGAGGCTGGAGGATTGAGTTGATATTCTTTAGAGATAATATCGACAATGGTGACTGATTTCTTTCCAAGCTGCATTAAAAATAAAATGAACAAAAATGCCTCAGAGGGGAAGAAATGTGGTGCATTTTATTCCAGGCAGCGTGAAGAAATCTTGAAAACTGCATTTAGACCATGATGTGCAAAAACTGTGGTTACTGTTAGCGTGTTTGTGTGTGTGTGTGTGTGTGTGTGTGTGTGTGTGCATGTGTGTGTGTGACTGGGAGGACACCTGTAAAGCTTGCAGGGTCGATGATGATCCACTCCACCGTCCATTTGCTGGTTTCGTCCTCCTCTTCCTTCAGCAGCATCCTGATCTCTTTGGCATTGTAGGTGAGAGAGCTGCAAAACGACACGCAGATGTTCACTTCACTGATCTGATCCGTGATCTGTTGTCTAGTCCAGACAATATTCCGACTATCAATAACTGATCTGAACAGCTGATCTACAGTAGGCTTGGTTGTCATACAAGTTTATCAGCGTTTTAAATGTAGCACAGCTTTTTATGTAAACCCCTCACATCACTGTCTGGTTTGTGTCTCACGTGAATTTGAGCGTGCAGTTCTGCCAGTCGAAGGGGAAGTAGTTGACGTTGATGGAGCAGGAGGAGCGGAAGATGGCGGGTGGCAACCAGTAGCAGAGACCATTCTCATAAACCAGCACGTTACTGTAGTAGGCCACCTGGAACTGGGCATCGTTACTGAGAAGAGGCAGAGATTAAAATGTTTATTTTGTCTTTTATTACCCAGAGACAAACACACGAGGAGTAATCAGAGGTTCAGGGTCATTTCCAAACTCCCTGTAGGTTTGTAGATCTGTAGCTGTGAGATGTTAATGAAAATACCTGGGTTCTGTAACAGAGAGTCACACCAATTAGCCTACCAGATGACCTCAACATGATCCTGAGCATAACTTTGTCCGGAAATAGGATAATGTTGAAATAATCTTCCAGGACATTTAACTTTTTCCTCATATTTTCCATTAGTTTTCCATGTTTTCCAGGACGCTGAGAACCCTGAGTGTTTATTTGCCATGAAACCTTCAAGTTCTGCAGTGTTTGAAAGACACTGGGACACTAAATAACCCTCTTTACACTCGCAGTTAGGCAGCAAAATGTCATTTAAAGTGTTTTGAATTCTTTTCTTTTCCCTGGATGACCACCA